TTTATTGGGATACTAACTGTAAGTGGGCGTCGGCCTCTAGGCCTTTCTGTAGCTTCCTGTGTGCAATGACAGAAAGAAACTATGCAAAGAAAAAAAAAATGGGTTCTAACCTCCTCCACTGAGCTCAGGTCCCCAGTCAATGTCATCCTCAGCTGGAGAAAACAGGAGCGTTTGAAATCATCCAACCGTTCTGGGGATTCTGTGGGATTGACATCACTGCTCCATGAAGCCTCGGGCTCAGATGCTCCTCTCTGATCTTGGCACAGCAGGACGGGGAAGTGGAAACTAGTCCGGTTGTACAGCTGGTTGTCAACTTGCAGACTGTAGCAGTAGATCTCAATCAGAGACGCGTCGGTCATCAGAACAGAGAAGGAGCTGGAAGCCAAGGGGGAGTCGTCCGACGGCTCGGCGGGTAAGGAGGTGGGCGCTGGAGCGAGGCTGAGCAGCAGCTTGGTTAACGTGAGTCTCAGCAGCTCCATGGAGCCGCTGGGATTTGTGATATCATCACTTAACGCAACACTGGCTTCACTCAGGAGGACTCTGACAGACAATCTGGAGGGCCTGAAAGCAAAAACAACAACAGCCTAAAAAACAGCAAAAGTTTGATCTTATCCATGACTGACTGACTGTATAGAATAATAAGAAACATCCATCATGGTTTGATGAATCATCACTTATTTTTTAGCAGAACATTAAAAAAGATGGCAGTCTGATGTCATTTGTTTACTTTTACTGAACAGGCCGTTACATCAATATCCTGTTTTGCTCAAATGTCACAGCAGCTCTGTGTCTGTAATGGAATAAAGCTGTCATAAAACGCTCCACAGCACAAATTATTTCAGTCATAATAACAGATGGAGCTTTTATTGCCCCCCTGTGGTGAAACGATGGCCTAATAAATAGAAGAAAAAAAAACATTGCTTTCTACAATAATCATTACAGCTGTTTTCTTTTTTTGGGTGAGCATAAAAGCTGTTTTTTTTTAAACCCAGGCCTCTGTACCTGCTGTGTTGGTTGAGAGCAGCTTCCACGCTTCCTTCTGGAGCCAGAGACAGAACCAGGCTGCCTCCCTGGTACCAAACGTGGATGTAGAGGCAGCCGAAGCCGGGCAGGAAAACCACCTAATCAATGATAAAAACACAATCCTTTCTTTGAATAAATGAACAGACCAATCGACTTGAATTATGCAGATACACATTTTTTTATTTGTTTTACTTTAGATAAACTTTCCGTGGTAATTTTAAACTCTCAGAGTCATAGGCCAGGTTAGTGCTCGTTACGCTGCCCTGCCTTCCTTTAACCCTCACCACCTCAGGTTATGAGTCATCAGAAACTCACAGCGAAAGGAAGCAGATCACCGCTTCTCAGCAGTCATAACAGCTCTGACCTTTGACCTTTCACCTCTGCCACTCAGGTCAGATTCAGATCTCACAGTAACCAGAGCTATGCAGCCTCTGTGTCAACCTCAGCTCACAGCTGCCTAGACACAACACCAAACATGACGCACTCCGCTCCTCGGCGTTTTATTAATCCCAAACATCTCCACCGCCTAGAAGAGCAACTGCTGCTACTTTACTCCAGAGATGAAGACGCACATCTACAAAACGTTTCATTGCTTGAATACAACAGGCCTATTGTTGCTACTGAAGCGGCTAACGTTTGGGTAAAAGATGATTGGCAACATCACATTTCTGCTCATCATTCTGATTACTGAATACATCAACTTTCCCACTAAAGCAGGGAGATCTCTGGCGCCATCTAGCTGCTGTAAGGATGTTTAGCTGCACTGAGCAGTTATGGCATGCTCAAAGTCGGTCCTTAAAGGGCCGCTGTCCTGCAGATTTGAGAGGTTTCACTGTTTCAGCACAGCTGATTTTCACTGCTAGCTGATTAACAGGCTTTTGCTGAAATGCAAACATTAGAATCAGCTGAGCTAAAGCAGGGAAACCTCTAAAACCTGCAGGACAGCGGCCCTCAAGGACCGACTTTGGGCCTCTCTGATTATGGTCTATAAACTCAAAAACTAAGGAGGTGTAAAAATGAAGTACATTAAAAGCTGCAAGAGATTAATTTAAAAATGCGGGACATAGATATCTCTTTTGTATATTAGTTTGGTGATATAATTGCAGAGTTTTACCTGAGTGCCCGGACAGTTGATATCCACGGGGTCTGTCCAGTCAGGGGTGCCGTTTTCAGACATGGTCTTCAGCTGCAGGGTGGGCAGCACCTCCCGCTGCCTGCACTCAGGGAAGCTGGAGCAGTGGTAGTAGAGCTCATGGTGAAGAGAAGAGTTGGCAGGCAGGGGACGGCAGAACACCTCCGTCCTCGGCGTCTCTGTGACGGAGAGAAATTTCTTTTAGTTCTAGAAACATTAAAATGACTTTGATCCTGAGAACGACTGGGATCCTCAGACAGCTACAGGGATTTGAGGATTTATCTCTGTCCAGTTTGGCGCATCTAGAGGTGGAACCTGCATCTATTCTTCCCTCCAAAGAAGCTCCTGCTCAGTCAGAGTGGAATGAGCATCGATTTTCAAGTGTTGCAGCAAATTCTTAGTTGCATTTAGGTCTAAACTTTGACTAGGCCATTCTATATCAACCATACTTCTAAGGAACTGACTGCAGATTTAACGTTCTGTTGAATCCTGTCTTATTTTCGGGTCCAGCAGCTTTTTTTCCAGGACGTTTCTCCAGACAACCTCTGACCATGGTGCCTCCAGAAGCATCCTCCACATGGATGGGTGTTCAGCATGAGGTGCAGCCTTCATCTGTACCTTTTCCCAACATGGATTGCCTTTACGCAGTGGCGGTTCTAGATCAAATGTACCACGGGGCCATTAAGGGCACCAACGTATTTTCATGGGGCCACAGAAAAGCATGAAATAAAAAACAGGGCAATGGATTCAAATATATATATAAATATAACTGCATGAAGTGAAATTTCTATTCAATTAGGTTTAATTAAAATTGTATGTCTTATTAAGTTAATATACATTCATAATTTAGGAATTTTACATATTTTTGACTTAAGTTAAAATCACCATGTTCTATCAAATCTGAATTAGTTTTTTAAAAAATTTGATTAAAAAAAAAAAGATTAGTAGATGAAAACTGGGATCCTATCTCAATACCACTGAAGCTATCACCTTGTTGTTTTTAAATAATTAGTGAAACAAAATTTGTAAAGAAAAAAAAAATGAAAAAGATCCAAAGGACCTATCAGTAACCATGTCTGTTCCAGTTAGAGTATTATGTCTTCAGTACAGGGGCCATAACAGGGGCCACGACATGAACTGCAGGGGCACTGGCCCCCCGTTGACCTCTGTCTAGAACCGCCCATACCTTTACGGCTTAATTTAATTTATTATTTATTTTGATGCAATCAGCTGGTTTTCCTTAGATGATGAACTGTAAAGTTATGCTGTGAATTGGCGCTATAGAAATAAACTGACTTGAATTGATTAAAAAAATGGCTTCCTTTGTACAACTCATTCATAAAGTCCAGACTTCTGCAACACATTGATAAATTTATAGATTCATCAGTTCTTTATTCTCTTCCCATCATAAAATGAGGTATTGAGCAAAGTTCCTTAAGACTTTAGAAGCTGAAAGTCGTAGGGAAGCGGCCGTTCCAACCGTTGCGTTTCTGAATTCTCCCGAGTGGTGCATGACTTTACACGAGTGAATAAAGTGAATGTGATTTGTTGATTATCAAGGGGGGGGATTGTTGTGGCTGAAGGTTTGTCGGAATCATCTTCCTAACCAGTTAGCAACTTAGTGCTAGTAGGTTCCCAATGGGAAATTCCATTGGGACCAAGTAGCACTAAATAGGTGACTTAGAAACGACACTGTCAAGGAACGCTATGGACAGAGGAAACATGCAAGAGGAGGAGAGTTTAGTGTTGGAGGTCGTTGATGGATTTTTTATTTAGAGGAGGAAAGCGGGGACGAAGATGTTGTGGAAGAGGACGCCATGGCGGCAGAAGCTTGGTTTGGCGTAGAAGGCTTACAGCGTAAAAAGAAGCATTTATATACATGTAAGCCAGAAGGATTTGAAATATAAATATGATTTCCCTACGACTTTAAGATTTTTTATAACTAAAAGCTTCTTTATATCTCATTTAAAATGTTTTTTATGATACAGTTTGTTCCTTAGAAAACATCTTATGCCTTTAAAAACAGCTTCAGCTGTACTGAGGTGGGCTCTATTTACTAATGAAATGACTAGTAAATAGAGTGCTGATTACCTTTGACGTTTTCTCTGAGCAGCAGTGAAACAGGACACTTGTTTTCAATGATCATGCGCGGACAGGGATCCTCATTCAGAGTTATGTATGTCACTCCAAGGTGCTCCTGATACGTCAACACAACAGCCCTGCAACGCACACACAAACATGAGTAAACAAACCCATACGTAACTGTCCACACATGCTTCCTGATGTCCTGTAACCAAACCAACACGCCCATCTACAAATCATATCCCCTCTGTGTCCGTTTTTTTTTTGCGAATCTGAGATAAAGCTACAGAACGAGCCTGAACCGAAGCCAACAGATGACACATCGTTGCTCTGCGGCTTTGCTGTGGATGGTGTTTTATTTTGCTTTACAGCATATATCTGTACTGATTACACATGATTGTGAGCCAACAGACTAAATGAGAGAAGCCTGAATCAAAACCAGAAGAGCAGAAAAAAACAAACATAGGTTCGTTGCGGTGTGTATGTCACTGCTGAAAGCTGTCCAAGCTGCCATCTAAACTGAACACCCAAACTGAAGATGATAAAGTAAAAGAAGCTGAGAAGAGAAAAAACGCAATCGATCATGACAAGCTTGGAGAGCTAAACGGTGGAAATGTTGATGGCATTTCTCTTCCAAGGTTTAACAAAGTGTAGCTAGCTGTGGCGAGTCCTTCCAGCCCCGCTTTAAATGGGCTATCACAGCCAGCAAACCAGTCAAGCTTGTGTCTCACCCACCTGCTACACAGGCCACCCCCTGAGTCCACATCCACCGGTATGGACAGACTCTGCCGGGGCAGGTCTGGTCGCACCGGAGCCGGGATACTCCACGCTGCGGTTCCAGCTCCAGCACAGGGCCTTGAAAGTAGGCTGAAACACATGTGTCTGAGAGGCAAAGCGAACTCCGCCTTCCCCTGGGCACCGACTGGAAGAAGGTCCCAGCATGGCACGGAGCACGGCTTCGCCACAGAGCGCTCATCACGGGGAGGGAGGGTGAACACGGAGCTCTCTGGTATCTCACAGACCTTGTTGGAGGACAACAGAAAAACGAAAAATATTACAAATAATGAAGGAGATAAAAGCGGATTGGATGTGGAGAGGCTGTTCTGGCACAAAAGGAGGAAAAAAATGCCTCTAATGAGATAGAATATCTAAAGCAAGCAGAAAAGAAAGACCCAAAGCAGACAAGTGATTACAACCGACGATACTCTGCAAAAAAAACCACAAAGTTATTTTACTTTATTCCCTTTCGTTCTAAACTTGGTGCTAAATTGGTAGCAGAGGAGTCCTGCTGTGTTGGTTTAGCAGCTAGCAAGAACTGAGTGGTGCAGACTTCTAGGCATGATGAATAGAGCAACTAGAAAGGCATTCCTGGCCTTATTTGTGAAATATGTTTTTGTTAAACTCATTGCACAATCTTCAGATTTTTAGAAGCCCTTTTTTCATTTTTTTTTTTTAGTCAATTAGGGGCAAACTGGCAAGCTTCCCCTCTATTCTATAAGGAGATCTAAAGGACTGTTTAATGACATCACAGCATTGCTGCTCTCTTTGGGGACAGGCAGCAGATGAAAGCAAGAGGAGAAACCTGCATCCAATTCTGGGTGTTTGTCTAATGTCCCTATGAAGTGCCATTGCCACATGGGGAGAGTTGTGGAAGGGAGGGAGGTGGGGGGGAACATGATCTGATGGAAAACGGCTTGCAACATCCCAGCTACGAGTGTGGCTGTGTGTGTGTGTGTATGGGGTTTGGGGATTAGTACCAGGGTAGACGAGTGTTTCTGACGTGCAAAGCAAATATAATGCATGTGCGAAGTTCAGCAGGGTTGCAGCAGGTGTTAGAGAATTTAAGACATCCTGGTGCAGTTCAAACATTGCATTTCTGTGTTTCTCATGCAACTTCCAGATGAAATATATATATATATATATATAAATTTGTGTTAAACGGTCAGAAAACAAAAACAGATGCAACATACGCTACCTGTTCACAGCCACCTAAGTGGCGGTTAGTCAACAGAGGCCTGTAGTGTACGCTGTAAGGCGTGTTGTTGACAAGAATCGTTCTGTCTTCTATCTGCAGGATCTGGACTCCATGTCTGATTATAGAGGACACACAGAACTGGCACACCTGTGCAGGAAAAACCAACAAACATGATTATTACTGTACTTCAATGCTAATTTAACTCACACAAGGCTCTAATACAGGGCCGCTGGAAGGAGTGTTGACTGCGAAAAATTTTTTGTTTTTGGGACAAAAGACCTATGAGCCTATAGGCCTATTTAAAATACAATAATGATAAATAAGTAAATAGAAATTGACTACTTTATTGTCATATGCACTTCAATGCACGCAACCAGGGTCTGTAACACACAGACATCAGTTCTCAGGTGAATATAAGCGCTATTACCTAAACTTCACAATAACAGTATAACAAAGCAGATTTGGTCAGCTGGCATGAACCCGACTCACTGTGTCCTAGTGGTTTGCACAAAATCCTTTTGTGCAAACCACTAGAAAATAATTACATTATTATATTTTTATACTATTTAAATGTTATTGAACAGTTCTCCATTGCACAAAAACCCAAGATCAAAATAACGCTCTAAAATACTTTGGTTACGTTAAACCGCACGAATAGAAATGAAAGTCCGTGGCGGCACCATGCTCTTACTTTAAGCTACAGGCAGGTTGCCATGGTTACAGGTGTCCAAATGAGGTGCGCTCTGAGGTCATGGAGATAAAGTCTCTAATGAGCGGACAAATTAAATGAAATTAGTAAATTTACAAGGTCGCTGCCACGAGTGGGATGCATCTTCGGGGACCACTATCTTGCTTGACGTTGCCATGACAACATATTTTCTGTGAACTTGTGTTGATTAGGCCTAAAAATAATTAAATAAAAATCCAAATACACGTAATAGTAAAATAAAAAAGTCAAAATAATTTCTCAAACTATTCATCAGAAATGTATAAATTTTGCAAAGTATTACTAATAAAAATATATTTTTTTAATCCCTCTCTCGCAACTAGAGGGTGCTGCAGCACCCGGACTTACCGCCGCCATGCTCTAATATGTGCATCATTTAATGGAGAACACAGAAGAATTTCATTATTAACAGATTATGTATTCCTGATGAGCAAAAGCGGTGAAACAACATTTAACATTTTTATATAACTAAGCTAATGTTCCCTAAGTAAGGGAAGCAGTAAGTGGATGAGGATCTAACCGTCTGTTTCCCAGAAGAGGCTCCCAAAGCGATGTCGACCTCAACGAATCCCTCCTCATCCAGAGTGACCACCACAGAGCCCGTTCCCTCCTTCCATCGAGGAGAGGTCAGGTCGTGGACCAGTTTCAGCGCCGTGGACTTGTGGACTGTGTTGGTGTGGGCCCAGTAGATGCCAATCTGAAAAGCTTCCTAAGATAGTGAGAAAAAAAAAAAAAATAAAATAAAAAGGACGGATTGGCTTTTTTCCAGACAAACACACAGCAGTCACCAGGAACTCAGTGTTGAGGGAAAATCTTTCCATCGTTTTCTGATGTAAAAGAAAACAAAGATGATAAAAAAAAGCACTGAGAGCAGGAACAAAACATCAACGGCAGTCAGCAGCTGGCATTTCAATGCTTTTTGGAAACGGTCGCCTGGTTAGGTCTGTCAGTGGAGAGCATCTCTAAAACTACAGCAGCTACATCACTGCTCGCTGTGTCGGGATGACATAATGAAAGATGGCTTAATTACGCAGTGATTGTCCATCTGGCTGAACCGCATCATGAAACAGATCAAATCACCAGCCTTCTCCTATCCAGCCGATCTGGGATGTGACCTACAGCTGATAAACATTGTATTGCTATGGAAACAATGCTTTATTGTTTCTATTTGACAGCCTTTTACACACTTTCAACTTCATGTTCTGTTGCTTTGAGTTGAGGCCTATTAGTGCCTTCCCTTTGATACACTGGCCTTAGCGGGTCAGGGGGATCTGTGTGTGAGATGTTCCGCAGGGGAAAACCATCGGCTGTTTTCTTCCAATGATCTTAGCGGCCAGAGGGAAGACATGGCTGCAGCGCACTGTGACAGAGCTTGGCTCTACTTAAAGACGTAGGCAGGGAATATTGTTGTAATGCAGCTCTGCTGGATGATCTCAGGTTTTGTTCTTATTAGTCATGACTGAAATAAAAAAAGGTTCCTATAATGATGCTCGTTCTTGAAGTGAAATCAAAATAAATACCTTGGGGAGAAAAAAAGTGAAATATGTATTGTTTTAATGACTTGTGGGATAATCCAGTTAATGGTTACTGGGATTCCTGCTTGGATAAAAAGGTTCTAGGAAACATTATTTCACTTCCCGCTTCGTTTAATCAGTTTTAAAGCAGCACTCAGTAAGTCATGACCCACGTTTTAGCTCAACTCTAGAAAAACGGATCCGTCACTGAATGGGTCATGTGACCCAAAGCGTCTCTTTTAGATGTACTTCTGGACCGCTTCACTCCAGCTCTATATGCTGGTGAAGAATCTCAGTCATCCAGGTTTTAGTTATTCCAAAAAAGGTAAAAAAAAAAACCCAAAAAATCCACTGGACTTTGTTTCTAAGTTTGAAGACATGCAAATTGAAACAGATGAATGGGCCCACCCCTTTGGAATGGGGCTCCTTTCGCTTCTTTGTTAGCCTGCAATGCCCCATACCTGTCTATGTCTCTGAAAGGAGGATTGTGAAAGGGAATTGTTGGCCTGGCTGATTAGACGAAGGTTGACGTCCCCTATCGGTCTGTGACAGTGTACGTCACTTCCGCAAAAGCGCAATTCATTTAGGGTAGTTAGCGCCATTTCTGTGGTGAAGAGACAGCAGCAACGAAGAAAAGAAAACTAACAGAGAGCAGACGTGTTCTAGTTGCTTCTTTGGAAATAATGGGACACTCGCGCTGCCTCAAAGGATGCAATAGTACTTCTAAACAGAAAACAG